TAAGTATATAAACAGTTTTGCTATAGTTACATCAAATTTTTAATACATTTAACGAGTTATTCTTTCTTTTCATAATGTATGATCCGAATCACGTCGGTCTGAATTCTGTAATCACTTTTATGACGATAAATTTTTACACATTCCTTTTCTGCCTTACATAAAAACAAATGAGACAGAAGCTGAACAGGATATACGTTCGGTGATGCGCCAAGTCTCTGAAACATATAGAGGTAGTTATCTGACATGAGCGTTGAAAATTCGAATCTTGTTCTATGCATTCAGTGCAACAGAATTCCATACTGATTTCAGATTATTGAAGGTATATCTTAATTTTTCAGTTCTGTCTTTTAGATCCTTTCTCGTGCTGCCTGTAGATGAAACAACGCTACGTTTAGATTTCTCCCACTCACAGTGAGCGGTGCTTGTTGTTGTTGGTTAGGTATTTTCATCACCTCCATCTTTTCTATTTTCACTTGAAGTTCTATTTTTTTCGTCAGCTTATTGATTTTCGACTGTAGATCTTCGAATTTGTGTGACACTAAACACGAATCCTTCGTGAATTCTAGGTTTTCCAGCTTCTTCCTGTCAGTCTGCTCGTCTTCTCACTCCTGCTATCTTTTGCATGTTCCAGTTCACCATAATCAAAGATATCATTGTTTATAGTAGACTGCCTTTTCTTACTCCTGCTCTCCCTACAAATGCTTCGCTGAATTTTTCGTTGTGAATCATTTGACATATGACATCATTAAATAGCTTTTAGATATGGTTGATAAAAGTCACAGATGCTTTGGTGTTTGCCTTGGAGATGACGATAGCAGAATGCCAACGTTTAATTAACTTGAAGAAAGACAGTACTATAGTGGAGCGCAAATCACAGCCTTCTAAATTTGATTAAATTAATGCAGAGGAAACTTCTCCTACCACCGTTAAGCACGCAGAACTTCAGTCTCAGAATTCAACTAAGCTTTTGTCAGTGTGCTGGTACTGCGGTTCATGACATTTTGTCGAATTCTGTCCATTCAAGAAGCTTAAATGCCGCAGATGTCATCATTTTGGACATAAAGAGGGTTTTTGTTCACCACAGAAAAACTCTTCTATAAGTAATAAGCATAGTTCCTTCAAGGGAAAGGCACGCTATGGCATACAGACCGTTTTCACAACATCCAAAATCGATTTTCGCCATCAAACGGAAGTATGTTACGCTGTTTATTAACAATAAATTTATTCGGTTTCATCTGGATACAGCGTCAGACATTACTTCCTACAGAACATATCACTAAGCATGCTTCTGGAGATGTGCTAAAACTCATGGGTGAGGTCAACTAACATGTTCAATTTGGTGAGCCTCAATTCTATCGTGAATCATACCTCGCAAACCACCATAATTTGGATTAACGTGGTCTTACCCGGATGGATAAGCTAAGTCTCTTAAATGTTCTATAAAATTTGGTATTTTTTAACCTGTTGCCTTAGTCAAACTATTTAATTTCAAATCATGCATCATGTAAATCTCTGTTGCAAAACTTGAGCCAAGATCATAACCGAGTTTTCCGGAAAAGCCTTGGCTGTCACAAGTTTAGGCGAATCGCCTCGCGTTTGTCCATCTTAAACGTCCAGTTATTACTCAACCTCAGTCCTATGAAAAAGGTGGATGCCTGGTCAACGCCTCTAAGAGTGCTTTCATGAGGGCGGAGGGGAGGAGACAATCATATAAGTCTCGGATAGATTTTCGCTGCCTTATCATACAGCACGAAGCACTTCTACCTCAAATAAGTCATCTTCAGCAGGAATTATTTTCGGTCGTAAAACCGAAACTTTCTCAAACAAATCCAACAAAAACTTTTCACACATTTTGCACTGGGAGGTGGTAGGGATCACTCTAAAATAGAAATCACTTTATGATTCACCATGTGATCGGACGAATGTGAAATCTTGTAGCGGTAGTTAGCACCTCAGAATTATTAGCCACAGCGTTCATCACTGAACATTGGATGCTGACCCTAACTGTTTAAGTCGGTTTGTTTAGCTGAAGGCTCATAGTCAAGCATCATCGCCATTTGGCACGCCTTCTATTCTATATTCGGTTGTTCGTGCACGTTCCCTAGCTAGTTAATCAATCGTATTTGTACTACGATTTTGGTCCCAAAATATACTTCGTACTTTGGACGATCAATTTTCGTGTTTTGCTTTGTCTTTGGCCTACGCGGAACGAATAATATAGAAGCTTTGGGTATTAGATCTTGCGTTAGTATACATGTTGAAGTAATTGGAGTAGGTAGATGTAAATATTTCGGAATGATATGACTTTTTAAACATCGACTGTTAAAAATCACATTTGAATCGGGAAATGAATAAGGAGAATTAGCTATTTGAGATTGTAAAATAAAACAAATAGAAGAAGGTAAACTGCACACTAGTGTGTACATAAAATCAACTCATTCTAATAGATATTTAGACTTTAATTCATCTCATCCGTTAACTGTTAAGGCAGGCTTAGTTAAGTGTTTAACGAACCGAGCAGTAGCACTAAGTAGCATAAAAAACGACCTAAATGATGAAACAAAACAGATAGAAGAGGCATTAGTGTTAAATAACTATCCTTTAAAATTCATTAGGAAGATCACTAAAGACCAAAAGCAAAATAAAAATAATGGTGAAACTAGTAATAATAACATAAATAAGGGAGAATATAAGTCATCTATAGTTACACCACATAAAGAAGGGACATCTGAAACCCTACGTAGGATTCTAAATAAAGTAGGAATTAGGGTGGCATTCAAACCTACAAACTCACTCAGGGACAAGCTCTGTAGGTTAAAGGACCCTGTCGGTTGACCCAATTAAACAAAATAATATAATTTACAAAATCCCCTGCAACGACTGTGAGGGCAGCTACATAGTTCAGACTAGTAGATCAGGGGTAGTCAGATTGTCAGAATATAAGAATTTAGCTAAGGTAAGAATGGTCGACCCTGAAAAGATAAGTAATTTTGAAAAAAGCTCAGCAATTGCAATGCATGCATTAACACACAACCACACAATAGGATGGGAGAGGGTTAAAATTCTAAAAAGTAATCTAGGTAGGTGGAGAGAGAGGTTGATTACTGAATCCTTGTTCATCGAGTCTACACCCAACACATGCAATAGGAATGACTCGTCACTCATACCTGAAATATGGAAAATACTATTACCAATCAAATCAAGTGAAAATCAAGAGAAAAACAATGGAACTGTATAAATGAATTTAAGAAGTCGTGTGATTACCTTGATATGATTATGAGCAATAAATTGTGCTCGAAACGTCATCAGTAAACATTACTGTATAACACTGTGAGACTTTATCAAAACAAAATATACCCATAATGGATTTAAACTACATGTTATCTATCAAGTAGCATAAGGAAGTGAACTTGCCAATTGATCAGAACATAATTTGCAAACACCGTCGTAAGTACATTCCTAGTGACAGCTGGTATCTTGTCTGGTTATTGCTTCTGGACTTACTAAAAGTTCAACCGCCTTGTCAGTTACAGTTTCATAGAGGTGTAGCAATATGATTTGTTATTACATCTAGTTACAGGTGTACTACATGATCATGTGGACTTTTTTTATCCACACTGTTCCCAATAAAAAGTAGAATTTTCTTCAAATTTTGTGTTGATACTGCCTTAAAATTCGTCAAATATATCATTGGACTCATTATCGACTTCGTAAAATTTAGCCTTTCAAAATAATTATGAGTGAATTATGAGTAAACGTTTTTCATGTTGTCACTGTTATTTTGTCATATGACGTCAGCAATCAATGCAAATAAAGAACTATTTGAAGCATTATTTCGCTCGCATAGGGCAAAACGTGAAGCGTATCCTAGCGAGTGGATGGGTGATTTTTCATAATATTACACCTGGATTAACATAGCCGTGAAAAATTTATCTAGTTACTAAAGTTTCTAACGTGTGACTGCAATATAAATGTGCCTAGATCCTAGAAGATGAGGTATCCAAATGCAAAAACCACGAGGCACTATTTAAAGTTAACAAAATACCAAATAATTTATAATATGGTAAACTGTGAGTCGGTGATCTTCTGCTTATGCAGGCGAATAACCACAATTATTATTCAAGCACCAAATTAGTAAGATGTGACTGCGAAGAAGTAATCAGTACAAGGTAACATGATGCATTAAAAGGGGAAAAATAAAAGTGAAATTACTTACGGAATAAGAAGAGGTACACTTAATCACTTCCTTAAATGATATTCGTAGAACAGTGAGTTACCACGAATTTTCTGTCAACAAAAGAAACAAAGTGAATTATGTGTGATAAAGTCGCAGGCTGCGTATTCCCACGGTCTGTTAGACGATGCTTTAAAAGGTGATGACAGTACACTCCTATCCTTTGTCTAAGTGTTACAACCTGGTTCGGCTGCTTTGCCACTCCTTTTAATTAATTTCACGGCTACCATACAGATGACAAAGCAAAAAATCACTGCGAATATGTTCGTGACACACTCGCAAGGTCCCAAATATTATTTAAAAATGCAATTTATTAGAAAATGTAATGTATTTGGGCAATACATTTCGAACAGTATGATCACACCTACTTGTCGATTCAATTTGTTTTTATTTTGACTGACCATCCATTTCTTGGTTTTCATGCAGGCTAGAATTACAGGTATATGTGTGATGAGAGTGGTCGAAATGCAGCGTATGTATTACGCCTCCCACAAATATTTCGTCATTTAATGACGCTATCCTGACTTCTATTGAAGCAAGTTGTTACTTATTTCCTTTTAATAAGCTGCAACCATAACACGTAGTCGGCATTTTGGAAGAGTTATCTGAAGGTTTATTGATCTGCAACCGTGGAATTCTGTTAGCTGAGATTATGTGACATCAATCTATGTGTTGTCTTCAGTACTGCTTCATGAAACTTACAAATCCTGATTTGCAGATATATATCACTACATTCGAGTTAAATCATTCAATAAATGAGATTGATCTGTTACAAGAGGTTCAATGTTTTATTAAATGGGTTTAAGGTCTTTTTATTCAGCATCAGGCAGTCATTTAGTGCTCGAAGCCTTAGAAATGAGTTATCTTGTAATGTACGAAATAACTCTATTCTTAATTTCTTTTTTCAAAAAAAAAACAAGATAAAGGAGACGATCAACTTAGAACCAAATACGTTTTCATTGTTCCGCTTCATATATTGTGAAATGAATGTTAATACAAACGAAAATAAAAATGTCTAAAACTGAAAATTAATGGTACACTGAATAATATAATAATTGATGCTGTTATTAAAAGTATTTAGTACATTCCGAACAAGGACCAATTAATAAATAAGAAAAAGTTCAAAGTTAAAGTGAAGACAGAATAATTCGAAAATACAATAGAATTAATAATAATTTGTCTACATCAGCTGCGAAATGGACAAACTGGATGAAACATATACGTCTAAAAGTAAGCATACAACCGCAAACTTTTGAGAAAATAATTTACAGTCTATAAGAATTTTCTCAGACCGTGTATAGTTCTCAACAGTTCTACAAAGTTTCCTGATTTCCTAATGGAATGCCGTTCTTTTTCACTGACATCTAACAACTGACGCACTTTACAACTATGTATATGTGGTGTGAAGTATAAATCATTTGGTATAAATTTCAAGTGTAATTGAAAACTCCCATCATTTTCTAAAAGATGTTGAAAATCCTCTTCATCAGACGTGTGTTTTTGAGATTTCAAATTATCCAAAAGGGTGTCGTATGTCATTGAACTGGTACTTTCAGGAAGATCGGTAGGTTTCAATATTCGTCCAATTTCATTCGAATCGAAAGACGCCCAGGATGTAGCTTGAATATGAGAAATTGAGTCAGGATAAACATCTGGAACATTTAGTTCATCTAATCTTACTGAGCCATTACTATGAATAGAATGAAATGACTTATGTACGGGATGAACTAGATTTAACGACGGTCGACTGACCTTGTGCAGTAGTGGATTGTTATCCACTGAAAAAGTTGGACATTCGCTAGCTAGTGGGACTGAATCTCGTTTGTCTGCTTTCACAGAATTACCGAAAATTACTGATGGTTTCCTTTCACTAGGTTTATAATCACCTGGCGATAGTGCAAATGATTTTGCATTCCTATTATACAATGACGATTCTTTCCTCATCGCACGTCTTGCTGTTAATTCGGCTGCTGCAAATTCTACTGGGCAGTTCATCAGTAGTTTAGATTCCAATGACTCAACCCTAGTCGCACAAACAGATTCAATATTTTCTTTACTAAGAGTTTCCAATTTTGGTCGACATTTTCGAAAGTCGGAATAAGATGAAGGCCGCAATGTACTTACCTTCCCAGGTGTTTTCACTTTTACCGGCTTGGATTCAACACTATCATTCTGGTGTTCATTATCAAGATTTTCATATGCGTCACTATCGTTAGGTGTGAGTGAATAATTAACTGGCGAATATTCCTGGTCTTCTTGCTCTTTAAAAGACTCCTCCGGAATGGCATTTGACGAAGACATTTGTTGGTAATAGTAGTAATTGTAGTCTGGACTATTTTTAAGTAATTCTTTCGTGTTTTTTAAATGTTTGCTCGGAGTATTTTGAGTACGTAATAATTTCATAGGATAATTCTCCATATTTTCATTGAATAACTTATAAGTAGATGTAATTTTTATAAACAATAAGAAATCGCCGTCCAGATTCCTTGCAGTATAACTTTGCGGAGTTCCACTGTAACTAATAGCAGAACATTGGAAACTCTGGTACGCACAGCCGGACAATAACGAATAAGACTTGGAAAGATATAACGTTGAGGAACAATTATTCTTAAATCGTTCTAAGTAGTTTTGTTCATTTGACAAGTTATAAAGATTAGTTATAGGATATCTCAAATACAGGTATTCTCTATAAATATTATTTCCGCGCCTGCTGGACCTGTTCTCCAGCTTCCGCCAGCCACAGTTGCCGCCTTCATTTTGCTGTAAGAATTCTCATCATTATCTTGAGATAAGCTAAATTCATCGGTCTCTTCGACAGTTGTATTTGTCTCCCATACTTCTAATGAATACAATGTTTCAAGGTTCATATTACTAAAATACAAAGTCTTAAGATGATGACACGTTTCGTCGGCTGAATTAACCATCCTTCTCATTGAAGGTAATGACAAGCATCGACTCAAAGGATTTATCTTGGTAGGTAGAGAGAATCTGAAAGGACATCAGTTCTGAATATGTTGGACTCCTTATCGTGAATCGCTATGTTTATTATTCTTTCACTATTTAATGTAATCCTACTAAACAATGTGTCAAAGACATGCTTCAGAGATAACAAGATCTGGTATAACTGATTCCTGTCAGTCAGTTTTAAATTTGATTGAATACTTGGAAAATAGTATAGAATATCTAGTTCACACGAGTTTAACTGTCTATAATCAAAACATGGTATTTGTGATATGGCAGTATAATACTCTGAAGCATCACTACCATCATCATCGCTTCCACTACACGTATAATCCCCATAATAGTTAATTTTTGGGGTCTTGGTCATCTGTGAACTCAATACACTATTTTCATAGTACAGCATTGAATCATCGATTGGCATAAAATCAGCTGACGTTGTTGGTGTTAAAGTAGTTGACGAATTACTATCAATCGTAGATGACAGACACCAGCTTCATATATTTCTGGTAACCAACTGATAATATAGGAAAACAGACAACACCATGTGTCAATTATACAATATCCATGGTGGTTACAATCCTCAACTATACTTGGATAAATTTTTCTACCCATCTGGATGTTTACACATTTTCATATATGACAAAAAACAAATACTAAGATACTGAGAATGATTTAATCTCAACTCTTTATTTTGTTATTTTCATAGCTTTTAAACTGAAGGCAGAAAACTAACAACAATCAGTCAGCTTAATTCCTCTTATTATTAGCCTTATTAATATTTTGAACAGGCGGTATTGATCTAATCATATGATTAGATTGAACCTTATACTCACACTATCTCTTTGATATAAATAGCTCAGAACAGGACTGAAATGGAATAATAAGACAAATATTTAATATAAACACCGAAAAATATAAACAGATTTATTAGACTATAACTACTACAATGGCTTGTCAAAATTTTTCACCAATAATCTTTGTGGCACAATGTTAGATCAGTATGCTGCAAATTCAAGTAGGCATGAAGTTCATTTCTATGTTTCCAGGTAGAGTTTGATTGAAACACCTGTAGGATACTTGTTATCAGTCTAAAACAAGCTTAATTTGATCCTGTTGTACTGAAATAAATGCCTACTTTGAACACCTTCGGTCCGTGATGATATAGAACCCGTGAAGGCTGGGCACGAAATTTTCGAAAAACGGCCTGCACTTCTAACAACCTAGTTTATCTGCTATGGTATCAAAACAAAATTTACCAAGGAAGGTTTAATATGATGACGAATTGTTTTTGAACGCATAAAGGTGGCTTAAACTTTATAATTGCTAGGGCTTCCACAAACTTTAGGATATGACCCAAAACACGTTTTAAAGATAGGTTAAAAAGAACTGTTAACGTCAATTTTATGTCCTGTCTCTATAATATGTTTCGCAATAGAGGAGTTAGGTCTCCTGTTCCCACCGTTAATAGGTTCTGAAGATTCCATTTGTTTCTGGAGCCATTTAGGAATATGCACTGAAGCCCTTACTTGCAGAGATCGATGAGTCCTCCCTATGTATGTGTCCACATGTACATTCAAATTGGTAAACACAGTGGGATGTGACGTCATTTTTTCGCATGTTCGATGGGCTTAGATAGATATAATGGCTTTACATTCTCTATTATTATGATATCAGCTGCATAAAAAGTTGAGCATATTCCTAAGTGGCTCCAGAAACAAATGGAATCTTCAGAACCCATTAACGATGAGAACATATTATAGACAGGACATAGAGAGAGACAGGACATAAAATTGATGTTAACAGATCTTTTAAACCTATCTATAAAACGGGTTTGGGGCGTATCCTAAAGTTTGTGGAAGCCCTAGCGATTAGAAAGTTTAAACCACCTTTATGCGTTCAAAAACAATTCGTCATCACATTAAACCTTCCTTGGTAAATTTTGTTTTAATACCATAGCAGATGTACTAGCACCTCTTCTATTTAGTTTAGTGGTCTTCTTTGTTATTTTGAGCTTGAATATGTCCCTTTAACTTGACCTAAGTCTATTTTCTCACCTCTTTATTAATTTCATATATATTTCTATGACAAGTCCGTGTGTGATCAGATTGTTCGAAATGTGTTGCGCAAATTCATTACACGATTCAGACAAATTACGTATTCTTATTACTTTATCTAAATTCCTAAACGGAACTAATTGTTTCAAATGTAGTTTAGTTGAGTACACTACTACTATCTGACAGTTAGAATAAATCAGATGACCGACTGTTGACAGTATTTTATTTTAAAATAGGAGTACAGTGGATTGGTTACCTCTAATGAATTAGAGCCTATTGACAGGTATAAAATGTTTCTTTTTGCTCTTACATAAAGCAATCATAATAATAATAACAATGATAAATAGCAACAATGATAACCAAGCAAGAATAGTGTTCTAACATTTATAAAAAAAATCAAATGATTTCTAAAAACATACACATTAGAACAGAAGACACTGACTTGTGTTTGCAAATTAGATAAATGAAAGAAATGAAAGATGACAAATAAAAATTTTCAAAAAGTAGTTGAGGAAATATCAAATACTTAAGTTAGTCAAAAGAACATTAAAAATAAAATATGCGAATGAAGATTATATATATATATATATATATATATATATATATATAGACATTTGATATTTTATATACATTTCATTTATATACAGCGAATCGAAAGAAGGATTGAAAATAGTGTTAAAATTTGTACACAAAAAGAAATAAAAACATAAAACATATGCAAATAAATTAAAATTAAACATTTCATGTGCGTTACTAATTTAGAGATTAAATAAAAGTTGTGATAGAAATTTACTTAACGGGATTTCAAAACACACAAAAAATGTTTATAGCTTAAACTATATTATTCTTCCAAAGAAATAATCCCATTAAACTATCGTCCCAGCAAGTGAACGAGCACTCAGAATAAAAAACTGAGCGATACCTAAAGGATTAGGGTGAACTGTATCTGTTGAATTTAAACGAGAGGTAATATAGCCTTGTGTAAGCGATCCATTTACTAAAGAAGACCTGGATGATGAAGAAGTAGACAAGTTATTAGCTCGGCGGTTATGTTCAGTGTTATTTCGACTTATTGATACATTGGTTGCTGTTGAAGGCGAATTCACATCTTCATCTGGTTTAATATCATCTGAGCCAGTAAGACCACCAAAAAGAAATAAACAGTCGTGTCCAAATGTACATGAAAATCCTAAACACTCTGGAGGAGCAAAATAAAGATCCAAATAATTCTGTTTAAGGGGAACCAGCCAAACACCTTTTGCTGTACATCCATTATGGTTAAATTTGCCTTTAGAATCAATTGAATTATCTGTGTAACAGCAGGTAATACTAAGTGAATAAACAGCTAGAGGATGAGAAGCACTATTCGATTTCACAGAATCTGAAGTACATATGTTATGACTGGATGCAACATGGTTTGATGGGTGTGATCGAATGGAATGAATATTATTTTCACCTGATGAATATGGATTACGTGATCCGAAGAGTTTTCGCTCTTGATTAGCTAAGGCTTCTAGTCTTCGAGCACGTCTGTTATTTGAACGCCTGGATGATGGAAGACTAAGCAGTCGATCAGAATGAAATACCTGAGCTATATAATGAAAGAGCCATAATGAAAAATAAGAAAATCTGAGGTAAATTATTTTTAATATTGCTGTAACAATCCCTAATGCTTAAAAAGCTAGTCAGAAAGTAAGTAATAAAAATATATCTTACACAAGTCGCTCACGCACGCGATTGGTGATGTTCTGTTTATCCACTACATATCCAAACGTAAACAGTAAGTCAACAATACTATTTTATCAAATAAAAATATTCTATTACACAATTTTATTCTACCACAGTTCTTCACTTCACTTTTTCCAGTTCAGTTGGTTTAATACTTCTTTGAAGAGTGCGCCCGCGATTTCTAAGTGGCATTAATTTTAGGCACACAACTTAGTCCGTATACAAAAAAGTAACACACTTCTTAAAAATTCTATACACGAAATGTTATTATTCTGAAGAAAAGTTTCACAAAGTTGCAGCAGTAGCTAAGCGACTAGTATCTGAGTGTTGACTTTTCACTGATTTAATTAGTTTCCAGGTAGGTTTCGTCAGGAACCAAAATCACATAAAAACCATTAGATACCAGGAAGTAGTGTACAGTAATTTCGTCATAGTTTCAAACGCTGGCTGCACGGACTTATAACTTCGCCATAGATTGCGCCCAGGACCTCCAGGTTACGATATCATCACATTACCATTCGGCCTCCACGTCGAAATCCAATGGCCGACTAACGATATGTAGCGCACTGCTACTCTGTGCAGACTACAACCTATTTGAACAAAAAAAGAACAAATAGTGATGCAGAATAACATTGGTCCATTGTACTTCGTCGACTTTCTTCAGCTGCTTACAACCTGTAGCAAATTAATACAAAAATTTATAATGCAATCTTAACATTCTTTAGTTTATTAACAGGAATATGTCTTTCAGTAAGGAATGTTGTAAAAGCGTATTTTAAGCTAGCCCCAACTTTGGTACTGTTAACATTCATGTTACCTGACTTTTTCACTTTCCCATTCTTAATTGAATTCGAATAGGTCATGTTGACACAGGCGATTGGCAGTGTGTGCATATGTGAGTTACTTCTTCAGGAGCATTTTCCGGATCCTGATTATGCTTATTGTGTGACAGGTTACATCGCCATAAAGTGTTAAAGTTAGTCGGACGATTCCACTACTAATGACAAATATCAAACCCACATAAATCCAAGTAGCTACTTATTTTCAGGAAGATTTGGCGAACACTGAATGTAATTGTTATGTGTAATGAAGACACATTAGAATACTTCCTGTCGGCGAATTTAACCACCAACACCATAGAATCTTGGAAGTACAGTCAACGATTACCTAAGCACTATGTAAGTATGGAACTTGAGCACTGTGCTAGAATATAATTCCATATAACATGAGTTTATTTTAAATATCATATTTAGAAATAAACTTATCTAATACTGATTTACCTATGGTTCTTGGAGGATCAATAGCTGACCTTGAATTTCGCTTGATCAGTTTTATTGCAATGACTCATTTTTCAAGAGTACAAATAAAATTTTATGAATAACAGTTACTTTTCAATCTTTTAGTGTAAATATCTGTCACTATGCTACAGTTAAGTTAGTAGGATTATTTGCAGATATCATGTGTTAGTAGTTATCATTATTCGCCTACGTTCCAAGTGGAACAAAGGCTTCAACCACACATCTCCATTCTACTCTGCCTGCTGAAGTCCCCTTTAACTGGCTCCACAATTGCCCATAAGTCCTCATCACTTCCCCACACGATCTCTTCCATGTTACCCCCGGACACTCACCCAGCTCACCTCTTCCTATTTCAGTTCCGCTAGAGGGCCTGGCCCACGATATCCTTCAATGATCTCCTCAGTGTATCCGATATATCTTAATTCCCTCCCGCCTATCAACTGAGAGATGCGTGTTCTTGATTGATTTGTCCCCAGGATTATACATTGCTAATTCTCTCTGGTTATGTGATCTTCAGTATGGAACCAGAGAAGGTTATTGATAAAAGTCTGAAGTTTGTTGAAAATGTTTTCGGTAACACGTCAAGTCTCTGGCTCATGCAGAACTCAATTGACATTAGTGTAACGGATCTGAATCTTATTCAATATGCTGATTGCAGCACATTTCCATAGTGACTTCAGATAAATGAAGGTCTGCCTTGCTCTGAATTTCTTGCTTTGACATCTTCGTTCGCACCGCCTGTAACTACCGACCGAAAGCTGCTACCTTGACGTGGTGGTAGGGCTTGAACACCACAATGTCCCAACAAGCTATACTGGCTGAGACTCATGTCTCTTGAGGTCCTACCATGACAGAAAGGTTGTTTGGATAGCGGTTAGACAAAAAGCAGCTACCCAATCCAATACTATGATACAAACAAACTCACATAATATCATGCCGGATTGGTCGGGGCCCGGATTAACAACGACGGCGCTTCCTGCTGCCGTGTAATAGGGCAGAAGTGATAAATATGCTACTGAGACACACCAAACAATAAAGAACGAACAAAAACAGGCCGCGTGTGACCGGCCTCAAGCAGTTGTCCCCTGGGCTCTGCGGTCACGCAACCAACTTCCGCGGTGTGGGCAGCCGGGAAGTAACAATCGCCCTCACAATCCGAAATGCACACGAAACCTCTCTATTACTCACTCATCTTTGTCTTCATTTTCATCTCTATCATCTTGTTTTCCTTCCACTGATGCAACTCCTCTACTTGATAGCTCTTCACTTCCTCTCTACTCTGTGTCCACTAAAAACGACGGAAGCCAAAAAACCACCGCCGACAGTCTCCTTAAGCCACACCACCGATTTCATATAGGAGCATTTAATGTTAGGACACTTGGCCAAATAGGACAACAGGCATCACTAGCCAAGACCCTGGCATCCCGTATGTTGTGTTTCAGAAACGCGCATACAAGACCCAAGTGTGGTTATTCACCTGACCCCACCTGGCTAACAGGATGAATCTGCAAAATTCACCTTGAGGGTGTCAGGAGATGCCTCAGTTAGTTCACGAGGATTAGCTGGTGTAGGGATAGCTTTGAGTACTAGGGAAGAAAAGACATTACTTGACTGGATCCCGGTAGATAGCCGAATGTGTGTTGTCCGTCTCAACGGATCAGTAAAAAGGAGAAAGGACTGCACTACTCGCCGATGCCTTTTCGCTATCTCCACCTACGCCCCCATTGACTGCAGTTCGGATGAAACGACGGATGCGTTCTACCGAAAGCTGTCTAGTTTGGTGAGAAAGGCTAAACGCTCAGATATAGTCGTTCTAGCTGCTCAAGTAGGGAAATTGTGTCAATCTCAGGAGGACGTCGGTGACACCTATGGAGCTCCGTGCCAGCGAACCGACAACGGTGATCGTCCCCTACAGTTCTGTTCAGATATTCATTTGTTTCTTATAGGCACAAACTTCAAACACAAGGAGAGACTCTGTTTGACTTGGAGACCCCCATCATCAAACCAACGCTGGACACAAATAGACCACATAACAATAAGCTATCGTTGGCGTGGGTCGGTAGGAGATTGTCGCTCCTTCTGGAACACGTGCGTAGATACCGATCACGCACCGGTCCGGGCTCGTGTGTGCTAACGACTGAACACACGTAGGAAACAGCTGGCGGTAAAACCATCACGTCCCCAGCTCGATCAGGAAACTAAATCCGTATTTCAGGAAGAACTAGCTAAACACATATCTGTGTTCGACAGCTGTGCTCACCCTGAAGAAGCTTGGAAAAATATCCAGGCAGCCATAGATACAGCTGTAAAAGCTGTGAATAAGTTGAACCCAAAGGTGAGTAAAAACCACTGGATCTCCACCGCCTCATCCGAACTGATATATGCTAGAAGACTTATTCCCGCGAGCTCCGAAATCAATGAGGAGCAAAAGCTGCACAAAATGAAACTTACGAAAAGTCTCCACAAGGACCGTGAACAGTGGTGAGTGGGGTAAGGAGGAGGAGACGGAAGAAGCATCGGCGATAGGAAACACTGGGCAACATTTAACTCTCATCAAGGAAACGGGTGGGAGAACTCAAATCATAAATCAGAATATTTCTCGCAAAAAAGGCTTCCGAATTACCTCGCAGGATAGACGCCTTCAACGCTGGAAAGAACCCTTGTAAACAATTTAACCAGCCTACAGACACGCTCAACCAGCCAAATATCCAACACCCCCAACCCCTGAATGGGACATATACACAGGTCCTCCGTCCCTAACTGAGGTTACTAAGATGGCCACTAGTCTGAAACGAGGCGAAACAGCAGGACTTGACGGAATGACTCCAGAGTTATTCAAGTACGGCGGAGACAGTTTCCTGTCTGTGTTAACTAAGGTAGTAGTAAGCGTCTAGGAATCAGAGGAAGTCCCATCGGGTTCGTCTAAGTCACTGATTATCCTCATATACAAGAAGGGAGACAAGTCTTCCTGTGATAATCACAGAGGGATTAGCTTGACTACTATAGTACATAAAGTCCTATGGTCAATAATCATGCGTAGAATAAGTGCTGCTCGGGAGGCACAAACACGAGAGAGCCAGGCAGGCTTTAGACCAGGAAGAGGGTGTATTGATCATATCTTCACCCTCCGACAGATTCTAGAACATAGGCATTTCTACCGGCGTCCAACAATCATTATATTTCTTGACCTAAAGGCGGAATTCGATTCTGTCGACCGAGAAGGTCTCTGACGATGCTTGGCTGTAAAGGGAATGCCGAGAAAATACATTGCACTGATTAAGGCACTCTACTCGTACTCATGCAGCCAGGTGAGGGCTTATGGCGAGTTGTCATCTGAAGTGGTGACGACTAGTGGTGTCCATCAAGGATGCCCATTATCCCCATTTCTATTCAACTTCATCATAAATGTACTAATGGACTCAACCCTAACTAACTTCAGCGACTCAGGGATTGACTTGCTACCAGGAAATTATCTCGTTGACTTGGAATATGCAGATGATATAGTCCTTCTAGGCGAAGACGCTGACGAAATGCAAAGTCTTCTAAACACCTTGAGCCGCAATCTACGAATGTTTGGCATACGATTCGCCCCCGCCAAATGCAAGATGATGTTACAGGACTAGACTACATTGACTCCTAGCTTAGAAGTAGGAAGTGAAGTGGTAGAGCACGTTGACCGCTTCACTTATTTGGGAAGTACCATCAGCCCGGACGGGTTGATATCTAACGAAATCTCAGCACAGATACAGAGGGCTAGTTTCGCATATGCCAGTTTACGCCATCTCTGGCGTAGACGAGATATCCGACTATCGACCAAAGGGCGAGTGTACTGCTCATCAGTCCGCTCCGTCCTCCTTTATGGCTGTGAGCGAGACATGGCCACTGAGAGTAGAAGACATGAAAAGGCTAGCTGTCTTTGATCATAGGTGTCTGCGTTCTATCTCCCGTGTGAAGTGGTATAATAGGGTGAGCAATATTGAGTTAAGGCGTCGAGTGCTAAGTAAGGAGGGGAAATCAATCGACGAGGTTGTGAAGTTACATCCACTGAGAGGGTTAGGACATGTGTTACGTATGCCTAGTCATCACCTCCCTCGACGGGCAATATTAGCTGACATAGGGTCAGGCTGATAAACAGTCAGTGGTGATCGAATCAAAACATGGTATCAGTCAGTGAAATCTACAACAGTTAGTTTAAGCTAACGTAGGAAGGTGTAGACTTCGAGGCTGGGGTCCTCGGGACGGTAAAAACAAATGGTTGGAAACAATTGGTGACATGGCTCAAAATCGTTCTCAATGCATAGTGCAGATGCATCCACTCCTTATGACTTATGATTTCCAATGAAACTGTTTTGTTCATCGTTATTACTATTCCTTTGTCTCGCATCTCTGTTTACTGTCTGTATTATGCATTTCTTCTACTTTCTTGTCTTGCTTTGTGTGCTACAAGGAGGGAGTGTGGCGACTTGAAGTGCCGCACATATGTGCAAAGTTCTCTGTCGAAAACAGACAGACAGACAGACAGCCGCCTGTAACTGTAAACGATACAGATTGGTATTTGTTATTGTTGGTTGGTTGGTTATCTTCATCTCCTCTGTCTTCTCTATTTTTATTCGAAGTCCTGTCTTCACTACAAGCCTCTTCTGCCAGTTTGTTGGTTTTCGCCGGTAGATCTTCGAATCTATCTGATATTACACATAAACCATCCGCGAAACCCAGATCTCCCAGTCTTCTTGCATGTGCAACGTGTTCATATCTTCCCGTTTTCTACAGTCTGTCACATGATCAAGCTTGGGATAATCAGGGATATCACTGGTGATAGTAATGAGCCTTGTCTTATTCCTGTCTTCACTTCAAACACTTCGCCGAGTTTTCTATTGTGAATCACTTGACATGTACCTGTTGAATATGAATATAACAAATGCAGTGGCATTTTTTACACACGTTGGAATTAAAGGGTAGAAACAAACACTTACGATTGATATCAGCCAAATGACAAGGTTTCTGCAGTAAATCTTCTTTCTCATTACCATCATCTGCTGGCATACCAGATATCTGATCAGTTGCGTTTTTTCGATAACTGGTACTGGTCAATTCAGAGCTCATTTTGATACGTTGCCAATATTTGCGTTGTTTAGCTGCCTCATCTAATAACGCTGCAGTAGGTTGACTGATGATAGCAACTGTAAACACATTTTCCATTCGATTGTCTGAATAACAGCTATTGGTTTGGATAAAATCACGATTTTCTGTTGACACATATGGTTTATTTACTTCACGATAAGGAAGTGAGACTGCAGTTGCATGATAAAAGTCTATTGGTGGGCATCCAGGGATGCCTTGAGAACATTCAACCTTAGTCCAGAACCAATCCACTTCATACCAATCTGGACACAAAATAAAACACATTATTACACAAATGACATGATCACATACACAAATGAAAATATGATCAGTTATCAACAACTGATTTATATGCAAGTTAACTTTTACAAGACAATAAATGATACTGGTGAGTGTCTTTGTGACAACTGTGTACTAAGAAAAAGAACAAAACAAGTTTAAGTGTACGAATTTTACAATTCACGTGAAAAAACTCAGGTTGAGAACGAACATTAAGTAATAGAACCATTTATTTTTATTGTTTATTATTATTTATTTATTTTTAATACTACCACTTTTCAAATCTGCTGTGTTAACTGCGACATGGACAAACAAATAAAATCTGATTTCGGGTTGTCTAACATCACTGTCAACATGCAATAGATGAGGTAACAGACACATCACCTGTGTATTTGTATAAAAAAATACAGTCCAATATAATAATGAAGGGAATCTAAATAAGTGGTCACTTCATATCTACAAATCTACAACAGGAAATATCAGGCGACGGTCCACATAACCCAGTTGTTTAGCGTGCAATACTATTGCATTTGAAGAGGGGGCGACATAGTGAGACGTGAGTACATCCACTTGATAGATTCGCCCTTGATATCACTGTGAACCATCACCAAAAGCATAGCAAAGTTACTACGCATATGTCAACTGAAAAAACCTCGGTAACAGACTGCAGTTCGGATGAGCCATAAGATGACTTCTACCTGAAACTGTCTAAATTGCTGCAAAAAGCAAAACGTTCAGATATGGTTGTTTCAGTAGGCGACTTCACTGCCGAAGTAGGGAAGTTGTGCCAGACTGAGAAGTATGTAGGCGGTACGTATGGAGTTCCCTGCCGACGAACCGACAACGGTGATCGTCTTCTACAGTTTTGCTCACATAATCATCTGTTCTTAGTCAGCCCTAACTTTAGGCACAAAGAGAGACATTGTGTATCCTGGCGACCTCCATCACCAAATCAACGCTGGACTCAGATAGACCACATAGCCATAGGGTATCGTTTGCGAGGGTCAGTAGAAGACTTTCACTCCTTCTGGAACACGGGCGTAGACTCTGATTACGTTGTGGTCCGCCCACGTTTATGCTTACGACTGAACGGACATAAAAATTGTTGGAAGCGAAGCAGTTACTTCCCTGACTAGATCGAGAGTCTGAGTCCCTATTTAAGGAAGAAATAGCGAAACATGTATCTGAGGTCGACAACAGGACCTCATCTGAGGTAGCCTGGCACACAGTTAGCTGTAGACAGCTGTAAAATCTGTTACTAACCTGAAACCTAAAGTTAGTAAGAGCCGTCAGATTTCTACCACCTCATCCGAACTGATTGACGCAAGAAGAGTGATTCAGACTGTTATAACGATAGGGAATTAAATGAGGACGTTGTCGCCTTGTTCTGTCTGCGCCTGACTAATATGCCTGTCTGCTTGTGGTACCTTCCGATTCAGTAAACCACGTAAATATCAAAAGACAGGCTGGCCTATGACTGTGTGTTGTAGTACAACAACTACGATAACGAAACACGGTATTTATACATTTTTACAACAATTCAGACAGCTAACAGCATTTGAAATAATTGATCGTAATAATCAATAACAAAGTGCGTGGGAAATGACGATATACCATTTATGCGAGCTCAACAGCCGTTGAAATAACAAAGTGCGTGAGATCCTATCACAGGCAAGCTCCGATTATGATGGGGAGCGAAAGCTAATCAAACGCAAACTAACAAGAAGCCTGTGTAACGACCGTGAACAGTAGTGACCGACAAAAGCGAAAAAGATGGAAAAGGCATTGCCGATTGGTTAGACCAGGCAACTATATAGACTTATAAGGGGAACAGGTGGTACAAGACAAACGATAAGTGAAACAGTCTCTGAGAAAAATAGCGCCATAATCTTCGGATGGGCGACCGGAACTCTGGAAAGGAGCAGTTTAATTGGCCCACAGCCACACTATACCTACCAAACATCCAACACCCCCAACCCCTGAATGGGACATATACACAGGTCCTCCGTCCCTAACTGAGGTTACTAAGATGGCCACTAGTCTGAAACGAGGCGAAACAGCAGGACTTGACGGAATGACTCCAGAGTTATTCAAGTACGGCGGAGACAGTTTCCTGTCTGTGTTAACTAAGGTAGTAGTAAGCGTCTAGGAATCAGAGGAAGTCCCATCGGGTTCGTCTAAGTCACTGATTATCCTCATATACAAGAAGGGAGACAAGTCTTCCTGTGATAATCACAGAGGGATTAGCTTGACTACTATAGTACATAAAGTCCTATGGTCAATAATCATGCGTAGAATAAGTGCTGCTCGGGAGGCACAAACACGAGAGAGCCAGGCAGGCTTTAGACCAGGAAGAGGGTGTATTGATCATATCTTCACCCTCCGACAGATTCTAGAACATAGGCATTTCTACCGGCGTCCAACAATCATTATATTTCTTGACCTAAAGGCGGAATTCGATTCTGTCGACCGAGAAGGTCTCTGACGATGCTTGGCTGTAAAGGGAATGCCGAGAAAATACATTGCACTGATTAAGGCACTCTACTCGTACTCATGCAGCCAGGTGAGGGCTTATGGCGAGTTGTCATCTGAAGTGGTGACGACTAGTGGTGTCCATCAAGGATGCCCATTATCCCCATTTCTATTCAACTTCATCATAAATGTACTAATGGACTCAACCCTAACTAACTTCAGCGACTCAGGGATTGACTTGCTACCAGGAAATAATCTCGTTGACTTGGAATATGCAGATGATATAGTCCTTCTAGGCGAGGACGCTAACAAGATGCAGAGTTTTCTGAACACATTGAGCTGCAATCTACGAATGTTTGGCATGCGATTCGCCCCCGCCAAATGCAAGATGATGTTACAGGACTAGACTACATTGACTCCTAGCTTAGAAGTAGGAAGTGAAGTGGTAGAGCACGTTGACCGCTTCACTTATTTGGGAAGTACCATCAGCCCGGACGGGTTGATATCTAACGAAATCTCAGCACAGATACAGAGGGCTAGTTTCGCATATGCCAGTTTACGCCATCTCTGGCGTAGACGAGATATCCGACTATCGACCAAAGGGCGAGTGTACTGCTCATCAGTCCGCTCCGTCCTCCTTTATGGCTGTGAGCGAGACATGGCCACTGAGAGTAGAAGACATGAAAAGGCTAGCTGTCTTTGATCATAGGTGTCTGCGTTCTATCTCCCGTGTGAAGTGGTATAATAGGGTGAGCAATATTGAGGTTAGACGTCGAGTTCTAGTGTAACAACAGAAGACAAGGGCTGGCAACAGATCGTTTTATTATGAAAATCAACACGCATTTATACATATTTCATGTACATTATTATAGACAAGCGCAGCCATCTGATTGGTTGTTTATCTGAAGTTAGGCAGACAAACGCAGGCTTATTATTGGTTGTTTCGGGACTCATTGACAAATAGAGTTCCCTATCTGCGAATCATATTTTGCCACGTTAACTTTGCTGTGATTGGTTGTTGACTCAGCCTTGTTCATATTTTCTCACGGCCCATATTAACGTAGCTTAGTGTCAACCAATCGGCTAGCAGCCTGCTCTCACCACACTCGTCCCCCCGTCAAATAGCTTCGTGCGCAGACGTTCCGACCTTCTGGGTGCTACATCCTCTAGTTGAGGATTGTTACTGACCGGCTTGTCCCACTGTACCCATCTTCGGAGCTGACTGGCGTTAACTCGTTTCTGTTTATCACCTCTTCGGATGGTATATACTTGACCCCGTCTTTTTGTGATTGTGTATGGTCCTTCCCACTTTGGAAGGAGTTTCCGTGAACCTAGCCCGCCTCCAACTGTATATCTCCTGTCTCTACACTTCACTTGGTCCCCGACTTCAAAGGTAATGCACTGCGTCCTTTCTTTCATCTGAGACTTCGTGACATCACTGCGCTGCTTCCGTATTACATTCTTGACTGCCTCTTTCCTCTCTGCTTTTAATTTCGTCGTACTCCACTTTTGGTGCATGGGCCAGGTCTCATTGTGTACCGGTAATCGTGGTTTTCTACCATACATCAGTTGGAAGGGTGACTTCTTCGTTGTTTCCTGAGTGGTAGCCCGATGTGTTAGTAAAATCAGTGGAAGTTCCGTTTCCCAGTTACCGCCCTTCGAGGCCAGCCACTCCTTCAGTGTACGGTTGTTTCTCTCCGTTAGGCCATTCGTTTGTGGATGATATGGGGTCGTTCTGATCTTCTTGATGCCCAGCTGTTGCAAACGGGAAGTAAACTCTTCACTCTCGAAACAGGGACCTTGGTCTGTCAGTATTGTCTTTGGTACGCCGTGGTCTGCAACAATGTGTCTAACTACTGCATCTGTTACGGTTCTTGCACGTTGGTCTGGGATTGCTACGGCGTCTACCCATCGTGTCGCGTGTTCCGTCATCACCAAGAGGTACTGATTACCATTGGATGTCTGAGGAAACGGACCCATGACATCTACGGACCACAAGTCACCTATCGTTGTAACTGGAATCGACTGAAGTGGTGGTCGTATGCACCGGTCACCTTTCATCAGCTGGCACCGTGGACATCCAAGTACGTATCTTGCTACGTCTTCTCTCATACCTGGCCAGTACATACTTTGTCTTAGGAGGTCGGTCGTTCTGGCCACGCCTGTATGCGCTAGCTGGTGACATTCTTCTATCATGTCGTGGCGCGACGATTGAGGTATGACAGCCAGCCAGCTTCCGTCGTTCTCTCGCCAGGTCAGAGTCCCGTAGGCATTCACTCTGAGTCGATCCCTCTGTGTGAGTAGTGTGGTTAGCTCCTTACTCGCCGTAGTTTGATCCACTTCTATTCCGTTGGTGATCACCTGTATTACTGTATTCAGCGTATCGTCCAACCTCTGCCTACGTGCAAGTCTTAGTGGGTCTTGTTCTACTGCATGCACTCCGTAAGCGACCTCGGGCAACTCAGACTCATCTTGTGGTCTCTGTGCGTCGGTGGCACAGTGGTTAGGATTCTCGCCGACCATGCACATGGTCCGGGGTTCGAGCCCTCGCTGACGCACACCTGATATCTATGGTCGGCCTGCAAAATTTGGGCTACCGATATCCATGCTGAAAATTCCATAATTGTACCAAAAATACAGTATGGAATCAAGCTGTAAATCAAAAATTAAAAAAAAAATTAAAAAAATAACAAATCTGCCAAGACATTTTCACTTCCAGGAACGTGTGAGATCGTAAAATCGTACTCCTGAAGACGCAACATCCACCGTGACAACTTCCCCCGTGGGTCTCTCGCTGTCTTCAAAAATTGTAGCGGCTTATGATCAGTTTCGATGTGGAACCGCCGGCCGAGTAAATAAGGTCTCCATTTGTCGACTGCCCATACCATTGCTAAACATTCTTTCTCTATCGTTGAATACTTTCTCTCTGTGAGGGTCAAAACCCTACTGGCATACTCAACGATTCCCTCGTCCTGTCTTAGGACCGCACCTATAGCGTAGTCACTGGCATCTGTGCACACTGTGAACTGTCTTCCTGGCACAGGTAGTTTTAGCGTCATTTGTTGGTGGTCGAGCAGCTGTTTAATTCTGTCGAATGTCCTCTGCGATTCTTCCGACCAAACAAACTTTGGCTCACCTAGTAGCCTGTATAGAGGGGCTGCTATCTCATTGAAGTTCTTCACGAAGCGACTATAAAACGCTGCTCTACCCAAGAATTGTCTCAGTTTTCTCTTTGAATTCGGGGCTGGAATCGTTTTAATCGTCAAAATTTTCTCCGGCAGTGGTTTAATCTCACCATTTCCCACTTTATGTCCCAACAGAGTAACATTCTTTTTGGCTATCTGAGACTTGGTTTTGTTGACGCGTAGTCCAAACTCTTCGATGCGTCGCAGCACGGCTTCTACATGGTTGACGTGATCGTTTTCGTTTTGACTGTATATGACGAGATCATCACCATAAACCTCCACGTTTTTCAAGTTCCTAAGTAATAGCTTCATCAGTCGTCTGAACGTAAACGGTGCACCTGCTAGTCCAAACGGCATGCGTTTAAATCGATATTGTGTCTGACCCACGATGAAAGCCGTCTTATCTCTATCACCTTGTTTTATCGGTATCTGCCAGTATCCTGAGCGAAGATCGAGAACCGAAAACACATTCGCACCTTGTAGGCGATCTAAAGTTTCTACCACTGTTGGCATGGCACACGGTCTTAACTCTGTCATACTGTTTAACTGTCGAAAATCAACACAGAATCTATACTTCCCATTCGCTTTTTTTACTAACAGCACTGGAGAGTTGTACGGGCTATCAGCTTCCTCAATAATGTCATCTTTTAACATCTCTTGCACTTGTCGCTCCACTTCGCCTTCCAGATGACATGGAACTCTTCGCGTTAAAAATGACCTTACTTTCGGATCACTTAACGGAATTTCATGATTCACCTTATCGCAATAACCGTATGGGTCGCCATCTCCAGTGAACAGATGATCGTATTTATTAATTAACTCTGTCACATTGTGTACCGTCGACAGCTTAATCGCTGCTATCTCGCTGGTCTCATACATGTTGATATGCCCGTATTTCGTGACCACCACGTTCGCTTGCGTGTCGATTATGGCACCAATCTCACGCAGAAAATCCGCTCCTAATATCGTTCGCTGTAGTTCGGGTACAACAATGAAAGGAAACGTCACCTCGCAGCCACCAACAACGACCGTACAGTTCGATCTACCCGTGATACGCAACACATACCCGCCTACTGTTTGTACTGTCAATGAACACGGGCTAACACTCTTACATAAATTCTTATCTATTAACGACACGGCCGCCCCTGTATCTATCAAACATACTACTTCTCGATCATTCACTCGCAACTTCGAATACAGAGCCCCTTTCTCAATAGCCCCCACTAAATCTAGGTTCATACGAAAGAAAGAACAAGCATTATACCGTCTGAAATTTTTTCTTTTTCGCCTTTCTGGGCAGTATCTTCTCCAGTGTCCCGGCTTACCGCATTCAAAACACCGGTCTTTTCTATCAGCCAACTTTAACGCCGCCACTTCCCGCTGCAATGCTTCAATTTTCTGCTCATATTCGTTTGGTTTTGGTTGGTCTATAGCGGCTACCGTTGTGCTCAGCAGCTGTCTGGTCACCTTCGCCAGCTCACTAATATCCATCGGCTGCGTTGCGTTAACCAGTTGTAATCGCTGAGAAATGTGGTCTGGGACACTCTCGATGAATTGGGAAGACAGTAACTGCGCTTCTGATTCTTCATCTAAAGTGGGAAGCGCGCGTCGAAGTAGATTAGTCAGTTTCACCGCCAACACTAGCGGGTCTCCATCAGGTCCAAGCTTCATTGACCGGAACTGCTGCATTGCTAGCTGTCTGTCTGTTTCGCTGTCAAACTCGGACACTAGTCGTTCAACCAATTTCTTCCAAGACGCTGTGCCATTTGACCTGTCTACGCTGTCATATGCAGCCTTCGCTCGGCCTCTCAACAGCGTCCCCAGGACAACTGCCTTCGCCGCCTGCTCCTTGACACCCACCAGCTCAGCAACGGCCTCGAAGTCACGTAAGAAGCTCCGTATGTCTCCTTCTTCAAACGCAGCTGGCCACGGGATCTTCATCTTTTTGGAGGCAGCGACACCAAATGTAACAACAGAAGACAAGGGCTGGCAACAGATCGTTTTATTATGAAAATCAACACGTATTTATACATATTTCATGTACATTATTATAGACAAGCGCAGTCATCTGATTGGTTGTTTATCTGAAGTTAGGCAGACAAACGCAGGCTTCTGATTGGTTGTTTCGGGATTCCTTGACAAATAGAGTTCTCTATCTGCGAATCATATTTTGCCACGTTAACTTTGCTGTGATTGGTTGTTGACTCAGCCTTGTTCATATTTTCTCACGGCCCATATTAACGTAGCTTAGTGTCAACCAATCGGCTAGCAGCCTGCTCTCACCACACTAGGTAAGGAGGGGAAATCAATCGACGAGGTTGTGAAGTTACATCCACTGAGAGGGTTAGGACATGTGTTACGTATGCCTAGTCATCACCTCCCTCGACGGGCAATATTAGCTGACATAGGGTCAGGCTGATAAACAGTCAGTGGTGATCGAATCAAAACATGGTATCAGTCAGTGAAATCTACAACAGTTAGTTTAAGCTAGCTACGTAGGAAGGTGCAGACTTCCTGGATGGAGTCCTCGGGACGGTAAAAACCAATGGTTGGAAACAATTGGTGATATGGCTCAAAATCGTTCTCAATGCATAGTGCAGATGCATCCACTCCTTATGACTTATGATTTCCAATGAAACTGTTTTGTTCATCGTTATTACTATTCCTTTGTCTCGCATCTCTGTTTACTGTCTGTATTATGCATTTCTTCTACTTTCTTGTCTTGCTTTGTGTGCTACAAGGAGGGAGTGTGGCGACTTGAAGTGCCGCACATATGTGCAAAGTTCTATGTCGAAAACAGACAGACAGACGGTAACTAATGACTTAACGTTGATGACTTTGAGGACTGATGCTGTTTTGGTTTTAACTTTCTTAACTCAGTCTCAACCTGAAACTAATTCAAATAACATATCACTTCAAGTAAATTATCGACTCAGCGTTTGATGCAGGTGTGTTAACTACATCAATACACGCTTTTCAATTCTATATATAAACTTACACGCCTTGTCTTCTAACGCTCTATAGCTAAGTTCATTTTAAATGAAAATGTTGCTCTACCTAATGCTAGTGCCACTTAAGGCTAAATAGTTATCTGAACATAACTGTAGTAAATGTTCACCAGCACAGAGTTATTGGGCGGCAACTCCACCAGAAACGTAGATAGGACTTTAGTCTATCGTTTTCTGATGTGAAACTCCTAGAATATAATGCAAGAAGATTTTTTAGACGATCTCAATAGTATTGGTAAAATATTTAATGACATAATGATGGATTCAAAATCAGTATTAGGTGATGATTATGTTTCCTCAGAACCTATTTGATTCTATTGGAAGGATAAATGAGAAGGATTAATAATAAGTAGCAGGAGGCAAACATTGGATGAATAACATTAACACCAGTAAGGTGGCACTGCAAGCCTCTTTTTGAAGATCCCGGAAAGAGATTGGCACCCGCAAAACTTAAGATTTTTATATTACTAGCGGTTGTAGAATTAAATGCAGTCAAGAATAAAAGTTGGGAGTTGAAGATAACTAACCTTGTTGAGTATTAGGTGAACACCGTGTAAGTATCCATATATCCCCTGATGGTCTACCACGATAAATGGATGTATAAGGCGAAAATTCTGAATCGTACACATCTGAATCATGATTAGCATTCACCATTTGTTGACGACGTCCAGGTTGATCAGTAGCCAAAGGTGACTCTAAATTTCCAAACATTAGAAGCATTCGATTTGAATCAAGAGCAGATGTTGAATGACCGCAACGACCAGACGGCCATTCTCCCACACTATTTTTAGCCGCATCAGAAACTGAAATCCAGCAACCATTTTCTGGAGATACAACATATAAATGACTAACACAGGACCCGAGATACTGAGATATCCCTCCGAACAAAACTAACACACTGGGTTCACCTACGCCACCTTTAGGAAGAAAACATCCAGATTGACCGGCAAATGCAGGTGGTGGAACAGGACTTAAATGATTGACTTCGAATATCGGTAAGCGTGACCAACGAAATGTTGAGAGATCAAAGCTATTCAGTTCTGTTAACCAATCCATATGACCCTGAAAATAGTGAGAATAAATACTGCGATCAAGATTTGACCGGATAGTTGCATAGTTCATGTGAATTATTCTGAGGTTGAATTAAACTAACAAAGAAAATGTGCAATTAGTACAATCATCGTATTTTCAATCTCCGTTGTCTGCAACAGAATGTCTATCCTAAATCCGTAACTGTCAAATCACCTGATAACTCTAACAGATCGATTAAAGCAACTCTTTCCACAACTAGAACGTTTGTACGAGAACACGTTCACAAAGCAATCAAAAATATGGAATTATCTCGAATGCAAATGTCCAATTTAGATGAAATTTTATGCCTTAGTTACATCAGATTTGAAGACATATTTAAGTTTAAAGAAGAATATTATCTTCAATCTTAAAAAGGAAGACAAATCAAAATGTTCGACAGGTTACTTCAACTAAACACTAATCCTTTTTTTTATTTATTCCTTTATGTTCTCAGTGGGACATAGGGCTTCAAGCTGAAGGCTTGAAATTTCTCTAGCAGTGTTTATTTTTACAGGATGTGGTTGCTAGCCTCATGCCCAACCTTCCCTCCTTACCAGCTTTATTACTGGCTTGGCGAGGTAAAGGAGTGCGTCGGCCGAGGATCGAACCCCGGATCATGTGCATGGTCGGTGGGTGTCCTAACCGCTGTGCCACCAACGCACCAAGTAACTTTATACATATAGACAATAATTGAAAACACCTACCCATTGGGACTCAACTCAGCATTCATATATATTGAGGTGAATCTATTAGTGGCTTATACAAAAATGTTCACCTCGAGGTCTACAATATGTTAGGTAGTAGAATGGACCCACTAATGGCTTGAAGTCGCCATCGTTGTCCACTAAATTATCTGCTTTGCGTAGTAATTCTACTCCAGTACTATCATAGCGCTTCTTTAAGGCATTTAATACCCATTTTGCTTTAGCTTTATCACCTGAAAGAGACTTAATTACTAAAGTAAACATTAACCCTAAGCACCATCAATTTGAAAATCCGTATAATCTCAACTTTCTGGATACGAACAAAGTGGTGGTCAATCTCTCTGATAGAAATTTATCAAATTATGAATTATCCCTCCTTAAAAAGGGACTTAATTTCAATGTAAACAAAAGGCACTTATCAGCCTTCGAAGTGGTTCCAGCAATTGAACCGTCGTTGAAGTCAGTGATAGCCGAAGAGGCAAACGTCATAAGACACAAAATTACAGCGGTGCTACTGAACCAGAAGCCAAACGCGCCGAATATAAATAAAAACGAGCAACTGGTGTTAAAAACCTACAACAGGATAAATCAATTATAATTACAAGAGCAGATAAAGGCAATATCACGGTTGTAATGAACACTGCAGATTACGAAAAGAAGGCCATTGAACATCTTAATGACGGACCTTATGAAAAATTCAACTTGAATAAGTCAAGGGCGACATTAAATAAACTGAAGGCTGCAACAAGCAAGATGTTACAGTCAATAAAGGAGAAGCTCAGTGTATCACTTTGGTTTACTCTGGCTCCAAAAAGTTGCAGCCTCTGTAGATTTTATGGGTTACCAAAAATACACAAATCAGAAGTTCCATTACGTCCAGTAGTGGATTTTACTAATTCTCCAACATATAAACTCTCTAAATACATTTATCGAATACTTAGCCCATATGAAATGAAAGTGGAGCATGGAGTGAAGAATTCGTATGAATTTAAGGGAAAAATAAACTTGACTGATATTGAAGAAGATGAAGTAATGGCAAGTTTCTGTGTTTATTCATTATTCACGAATGTTCCCGTTAATGATTCTTTAAGTATTATTTATAATTTACTTTGTTCTGGCGACGAACTCAGTGGTCGTTGTCCTTTGAATCCAGGCGAAATTATGAAGGCATTAAAATTGTGTCTTCGATCCACGTTATTTACATTTAGAGGGGTTCTTTACCGTCAAACAGGAGGCATTGCTGTGGGATCACCAGTATCTCCGCTAGTCGCCAATCTGTTTATGCACTCATTAGAAACAAATGCAATTATGAGATGTCCTAATCCCCCAAAGGTGTGATTAAGATATGTAGATGATACCTTCGTCATAATCAAACGTAGTTTGTTAAATGAACTTTTTCACTTAATAAACAATATGTCAGAAACTATCTGAATCCGAGGAGAATGAGTTGGTGTTCCTCGACTGTTTAGTAAAAAGAAAATTAGATGGTAAATTTAAAATAAACATTTTCAGAAAGCCGACAAATTCGGATAGATACCTAGACTACTATTCAGCTCATCCATTTGCCACCAAAGTAACTGTGGCCAAGAATCTGATCAACAGAGCCAAACGTCTAGTTACTGAGAAGGAAGATATTAGCAAGGAACTAAAATTGGTTCTGTCCACTCTTGAATCAAATAATTATCCTAAAGACTTCATAAAAAATATTTAAAATGTGAAGATACGGATAAATCGAAACCTCCTTCTAAGAACTGGGTTAATACAGCGGTGATTCCTTACCACAAAGAAACATCCGATGAAATAAAGCGAATCCTTAACGATAATAACATAAGGGTGTATTTTCGTGCAACTAACACCTTACGCTCATCACTGGTGATGGTTAAGGATAAAATAGAACAGGAAAACCAGCAGAATTGCGTATACCAGATCAATTGCGGGGATTGTAACGTCGTATATGTAGGAGAAACTTCCAGACAGGTAAATATATGAGCAAAAGAGCATAAACAATGTCTAAAGGTGGTTCCAAAGAGCTCTGCAGACTCGAAGAAGCTAGAAAACAACTCAGCGATTGCACTGCATTCGATAGAAACGGGACACAAAATCGACTTTGATAAGACTAAGGTTTTACAGAAAGGTTTTGGTTCATATAAAGAAAGACTGACTGCAGAAGCCCTACATATATGGGTGAATCCCAACAGTTTGAACAGACATGAAGGTGTGATGTTAGCTGATGCATGGCAAATCCTGACTAATTAATAAAATTGGATGTGTATCAACAATTAGTCGCACTTGGTCAAATTCCCCATTGTCTACTTCTTATGGAGAGAATAACAAACGTTTTATGACTGCTTACCCACACACACACACACACACACCATTGTATACTGCATATACACACATATTTTAACAAAAGTAGACTAATTTTTGAAAGTCTGAGGTCAAATTTTGATCACAGTTCATACAATTTTTGTTTATTATACCTGTTGATACCTGTTCCATGATTCATATGACAGGACAAACAATTTAAAACAAGAGATATCCTTTTATATATAAACATATAATTTTGTTTGTTGATGCCTGTTTCATGGCTCATGATTGGACAAAGTTTCAAAAACGAGATATTCCTTTTATATATAAACCTCCGTTATGTTAATTTTGATTAATTTCCCTGAAGAAGTTCGGACCAGATTGTCGAACGAAAATTTGGAATGAATAATTTTAATTTCGCTGAGATTTCACAATATAACCTAACATATGTGCACTTCTTACTCGGCGCTCAATCATTTTGCACCTATCCGGTCAAATCTTGATCACTGTTCATATCAATTACTATGGAGATGTTTGGCTGTGAAGGGAATGGCGGGAAAATTCATCGCACTGAACAAGGCACTATACTCGAACTCATGCAGCCAGGTGAGGGCTTAGGGTGAGTTGTCATCTGAACTGGTGACGACTAGTGGTGTCCGTCAGGGAAGTCCATTATCCCCATTTCTATTCAACTTCATCATAAATGTACTAATGGACTCAACCCTAACTAACTTCAGCGACTCAGGGATTGACTTGCTACCAGGAAATAATCTCGTTGGCTTAGAATATGCAGACGATATAGTCCTTCTAGGCGAGGACGCTAACAAGATGCAGAGTTTTCTGAACACATTGAGCTGCAATCTACGAATGTTTGGCATGCGATTCGCCCCCACCAAATGCAAGATGATGTTACAGGACTAGACTACATTGACTCCTAGCTTAGAAGTAGGAAGTGAAGTGGTAGAGCACGTTGACCGCTTCACTTATTTGGGAAGTACCATCAGCCCGAACGGGTTGATATCTAACGAAATCTCAGCACAGATACAGAGGGCTAGTTTCGCATATGCCAGTTTACGCCATCTCTGGCGTAGACGAGATATCCGACTATCGACCAAAGGGCGAGTGTACTGCTCATCAGTCCGCTCCGTCCTCCTTTATGGCTGTGAGCGAGACATGGCCACTGAGAGTAGAAGACATGAAAAGGCTAGCTGTCTTTGATCATAGGTGTCTGCGTTCTATCTCCCGTGTGAAGTGGTATAATAGGGTGAGCAATATTGAGTTAAGGCCATCAGTCGAGTGCTAAGTAAGGAGGGAGGGGAAATCAATCGACGAGGTTGTGAAGTTACATCCACTGAGAGGGTTAGGACATGTGTTACGTATGCCTAGTCATCACCTCCCTCGACGGGCAATATTAGCTGACATAGGGTCAGGCTGATAAACAGTCAGTGGTGATCGAATCAAAACATGGTATCAGTCAGTGAAATCTACAACAGTCAGTTTAAGCTAGCTACGTAGGAAGGTGTAGACTTTCTGGTTGGAATCCTCGGGCTCAAAATCATTCTCAATGGCACAGATGCATCCACTGCTTGAGATTTATACTACCTAATAAAACTATATTGTTCTCCAATATCACTATTCTTTTTGTTTCACATCTCTGTTTACTATTTCTACTTTACATCTCTTTTCACTTTCTTCTCTTGCTTTATTTGTTAAATGGAGTGACAACTCGAACTGCTGCACATCGGTGCAAAGTTTCATGTAGAAATCAGACAGTCAGTGATTAAAAGGTATAAAAACACGTGAGCAGTCCAGGAGGTAACTGAGTAATAAGGAGGACCGAGTGTAATGGATATGTGCTGCTGAAGCCCTAAGTTCGACTCGAAACCCAAGCAATGAATAAAAAACAATAATTGATATGTAGGTAACGTGAACAATTCTAGAGGCCAAAATCTTTAAAATAACATTCATTAAACTCTCGCATATAAACATTTATCTGAATTTTTACCGTATGTTCTGATCCTGGTCTGTGGAAGCTTTGACAACCTCCATACAAATAGAGTGAGTTTCCGATGAAACCTCCTTTAGCATGAGCTCTCGGAGTTGGAAGCTCACCTATAAAAAGGCAAAAAAAATTAATCACAGAAAAAGATCAAGCTAAGTGACTAAGTATTTCGTAAGACTAAGAAGATAATTTATTGGGTATAACGTATATAATCAGCTATATAAGTAACCTATGGTGACCACGAGTCTGGTTCCCTTCTTGAAATGCTTTTTATAATATCACTTTATTATTATTGTTCCCTTGTGTTCCAAGTAGAACACAGGGCTTCAACAAATATTCCGCTGCTGTCCAAAACTGATGTAAGTAGATTACACTTACTATGGTACATAAGTGTCAGCTGTTGATTCTCCAGGAAGCATGGACAAATGTTTGCAAAGCCTGTAAGACGTAATGAAAGCGGTGCACTGAAAGATTTTTAACTAAGGTCGTATTACTAGCAAACATCAGATTGTCTCTCTGACGTACATATGGGTTAATTCTCGTGGGTAGCGCGTACAGTAGTTTACGTTAAGCGCTTACGCTGCACAGTCCAACTTTCAAACAGGGTCGTGAGTGTAAAACCCTAACCCTACCGATGTAGCTTCAACACAATGGAGTGACTGATTACCAATTGCATGGGATCGCAACCACTGCCGACTTTTCTGACATGCCATATTAACGGAAAAAATGTAGTCTGAAAGAAAATTACGATTGTTTAAATGAAAACAAAAGAATAATTCAAGGAGTCTGACTGCTGGGTGAAGTTAAATAGGGACGCATATACTGTGGCTGGAATTCTCCGAATGTTAAGTGTCAGTGGCTAGCGAGAAGACTCGAAATAATCTACGACAGTGCAAATGAATTCAACACTTGCTACCAACCAGATTCCTTAAGTGATCACTAACCGCTGCATAACTCTTTCCTCTATACGTCAGCGTCTATTGTGCTTCACGCAATGTGGTGGCTTAAGGTACTGAACTGCTATGCAGAGTTTTCTGACCGTAACTGAATCAGTCCTCAGGTGAATCAGACCCACACTTGGTGGCTAGCACTGAAACCAACGCTGAACCTACTAACTTAATGACACACTACAGTGACAACAAACAAAAAACGTAAATTACCTTTACCAACAATCCGCTTCCAATTATGAGTGGATAAATCGAAGGTCCACAAATCATTAAACGCAGTTAATTCTCTAGTAGCGCCCCCAAAGACATACACTAGCTGGCCTCTCACCAAAATTGTAGCCCCGAACCTTTTGGACGGGGCAGTATACTTTGATTTTTCTGCAGTGAAACGTAGATTCGGGGACATCCATTGTAAAGGGCTTTGCATTTTGAATGCTGAGAGAGTGAGACTTTCGCGAAGTCGGAATACACTGCGACCAACATCTCTCCATCGTTTGCAGACACTCAGAACTGTCAATAGGTCTGTACATGGTGAAAGTAGCATAAAGATATACTGCAGCAGTTCCACGGGAAGATCACTGAACATTCCCAATCCATGGGGCTAATGACCTAGGGCGCCAAAGTCAAGGTTGAACTGATCAATCGCCCAATACGTTCTTGTTATTCAGAACCTGGGTTTTAATCACGTAAAAACGTTTTGTGACTTAAGTGGATTTTGTTGTATTTCTGTTAAGCAGAGTGTGCAGTTGATCAGTTTTTTAGGCCATCCGTGATATGGAGTCGAATGTTATCTATGTGATACCATATGGCAATGTGAAACAGGTGGGAAGGAAGGGAAACTGCAAGCATGAAATAAGTAGAGAATAATTGAAAAGGAAAAAAGGACAGGAAGAAATGAGGAACAAACTGGAGCTAAACTGTGAATGGAGGTAGATAACGACACTACGTTTTGTAGAACAAGTCATAACACCTATTCCACCTGTCGAATCAGCGTGCTCTTTCGTGTCGTCGCTTTTTTCGATAATCAATCGACCATATTTCTGCGTTAGCTAGAAATATCAGTATCCACTAAGCAGTATTTGTTTTACTTCTATTCTTCGTCATTCTTCAAAGATTTGACATCCGCTAAAGTATCTGTGGTTTTGACTTTGAGGTGTATTTTCTCTGAGATAGTTTTCCCATGTCCCGATTAAAAAAACTGTTGAATTATCATCCTGTGGTTTCGAAATTGTGCATTTGGAGTCTAGGTTCTTAATTTCTCTCTTACTTCATATGGAAAACAGAGGGAACACGCGAAAGCCTTTGGATGCACTGCAGCCCTAAGTCTTCATTTCCCCCATCCACTAAGAAGGTGTGATATTAAGATTATATTAACACTTCAGAACAAAATACACTCTACTCTGTCTTCCTGCATGGCTGGTTGGTGCCATCGGTGAACTTTGAGCATTCAGGTTACACTGTTGAACGATTTAATTGCAGTGTTGTGGTATCGAGCTGTAAAATATCCCCTGATACCGTGAATCCCACCACCTTAGATATGTAGTACTAACCTTTATTTGTAAAGCGGAAGGCAGTGTGTCAATCCCTTGAGAAGTAATCGCGTTGCATTCTGTTGAGTGTAATTAACTAAGCCTTGTGTCCCACCCAGAGCCCAAGGAAATATTAAGTATTAATGATAATGCACTGATATGAAGTCGTACAAACACAAAAAACATGTTTATGGTAAGGAAAGGATCAAGATCAGTCCGGACATCTTCGCTCACGCCACTGTCTTCTCCCAGGTACATGTCTTTTTGTGGTCATCTTCTCAGACTCATACGGCACTGACTATATCTATTTGTATACCATTGGTTTTTGATATACCCACCCTTGATTCTTGTACGGTTACTCTTAAACATACTTTTCATCCCTCATCGTTGTGTGTTCTGGCATTAGTAGGAGGGCTGGGGGAAACAGGTAGCTAATGTATAATTTTGTTGACATAGTCGTGCAGTGTTCAGCGCGTCCAAGGCAAGTGTAAGCGTGTCTATTCTGTTAAATCAATCTATTACGAAACATAGAATACACACCTTAAAACATATAAACTATTGTAATGTCATCCACTTCATTCTACTTACATTTTCTACGGGTTTTGTGCCTACTTCCGGCAAGGCAGAGATGTGTTGTTGTAGCCGTATGTTACATCCGAAACCGAAGGCAGTAGAAATATGATAACACACATATTTCCGACTTCTGTTGCAGTCGATCTAGTTTTGCTGGTACAAGAACGTCGGGTTTTTCAAAATACCAGGAAGTGTTCTCCTTTTTATAGACTAAATAGACTGTTAGTGGGGTTCAATTTCATATTTCAGTTTGGTATTATTCAACCTCCTCATAGTCAGTGGGCTTTATCACTGCATGTGGAGTTGATCAAAAATCAGGTCAGCCGGCGATTTCGCTTTAATTACCTGACCCTGAGTAAGCAGGCCGTAACAAACAGACAAGAAGCGCCCCAAATACGGGACCCTATAAATAATCCCCCATTACAACACTCCCATGGCTGAGGAAGGCATGCTTAAAACAGTGACTTTAGCCTCGTTCGGATTGCTAGAGTTTTATGGAATGCTGCACAACCTTCCCAATGATTTACGGATTACCTGTTGTTTAAAACGAAGTTTGCTAATCCCAAATTAAGTGGCCTGATGAAGACCAAGTTGGGACAGCGTTGCAAAAACCATAAGGTAATGGTAGTCAACCAAACTGTATGTCTTTTGGAGTAGGAACAATTGACTTCCCAGAGCATGCCTTTGACAAAACTGGAATCGCACCAACATCCAAAGAGGTGCATGCCATCAGACTGCATCAGCTGTCCGCTACACTCACTCAACTCCAAGGTTTTTCGAGGTTGATCAACTTTTCATACCTAACAGCGCACAGTACATGTCAACCCAAGCGTATTCACCAAGGATAAAACCATCAGGATTTTAGCTGTTAAAAAGGGTAGCCTATGAAATCGCACGACTGCAAGACATTCCGGCGAAGACTGCAAACTTAATATATTCTGGCACTGATAGATCATTTGCACCAACCGTCAAGGCATTTGTCAAGGAAATTATCCCTAAGTTCCTATTGTTACGAAGATGCTCCGTACCGATAAAAACTATGTACTTTCTTCGACTTTAACTCCAAAACACCAGTATTGTAAGGAGGAAGTTATATTGTTTGGCGATTAAAGCGGAGAACGGTAGAAGTCAATAAACAAATATTTTAGACAAAATTATGGAGTACCTTAATTCGTCTTTGGTCCTACTCTTCGAACCTGTACACGATCGAACCATTCGCGCCTTCGAGTTGCCCACGAATGGCTTCCAGTTCCAAAAACAAGCGTTCAACATTCACCCCCATTGAAAGCATTCAATAACACTGGGAAGGCGGCTCTAATTCGGATATTCGACGATCACATTCTTCCATAACACAATATTCTACCTTTGGCAAAGAGTTGCTGGTGATCAGCCAAGGCGTCAATCACTTCCATCGAAGGGAGATATATACTTCATGCATTTATTCCCCTTGATAAATTTGAATAAAGCGAGAACAACATTGATTTGTGCAGAATAACATGGTACCATCATTTATTTCGTTGGCTTCTCGTCAGCTGCTTACAGCCTAAATAAATTTTCAGGTTTAAGTACAGAAACGTTTTAACGTACTTGCAAATTTTACATGTTGACAGAAAGTTTCACAACTAGTAAACAGTGCTCAGAAAATTGCGCTTATATAGTTTTTACACAGGCAGTTCAAGTTAAAAAATAATAAATAAATGTATGTATATAATGGTAAGGGATGTGCGTTGGATGCATAGTGACTAATAAGTTAGGTAACAATGTACTGAGTTGAACTCAAATCATAGAAACAAGAGACAAACAAAATTACAGATTATAAAAGGAGGGTGAGGTTAAAGACAAAATTACACAATCAGATGAGAGATGCAAAGTGACTAATAAGTTAGGTAACAATGTACTGAGTTGAACTCAAATCATAGAAACAAGAGACAAGCAAAATTATAAAAGAGGGTGAGGTTAAATAAAGACAAAGATTACGCAATCAGATGGGAGAAAAAAGACATCCAGTTACCAAGGCAAGGAAAGACTAATAACTGATTCTTTCTGAACACATAGATCTGGTTTCAAGCGTTTGATAGAAATTGCTTCGGCAAACTTGAGGAGAATGGAGCTCCTTTGTCTATTAATAATTTTGAAGGATTTCTCGATTTCCACCTCATGACCCGTGTCGAGGAGATGTCTGGTAATAGCGCTGCTATAAGAATTTGTTCCCTTGAGACGTAGGCTTTTCGGCACATGTTCAGAAAATCGGAGGTGTGCCCTTCTTTCTGTTCTCCCAATGTAACTGCTCCCGCAGATACACGTAAATTTGTATACACAGTTGGAGTTAACATGAGAAGGGTATCTATCGACTTTTGACTGCACCAAAGAGCATGTTGTTCGGTGGACGGGAACCAACTTAGCTGCAGGATAGGCTCTGGCTAGTGACGTCCTCAGTCTTCTGTTGACCATTTCTGCAATGTCTTCACCTTTAAAGTCTAGTTGAATGAAGACAGGCTTTTTTTCGACTGTGATTTGTTTGGTATTTGGGCCTTCACATCTTCCATATTTGTTAATGAATTTTTGAGTATAGCCGTTGTTTTTCAGCACCTTTTCGAGATTCGTGAATTCTTCCTCTAGTTTCTCTGCAGAGCATATTCTCCTCGCTCTATAGTACAGAGTCTTGACTAGTGCTCGTTTATAGCTATTTGGACAAAAACTATTAAAATGTAAGTATTGTCCATTCCATGTGGGCTTTCGGTAGATTGACCTCTGGAGGCTACCATCTTCTAGGCGTTTTATGGCGACGTCAAGGAAATGGAACTGTCCATCATTTTCATGTTCCATAGTAAATACAATATTTGTATGTGCGTTGTTGAATAGTCTGAGTAGGTAGGAGGCATGACTTTCATTGTTGCATACTACAAATGTGTCATCGACATATCGACAATAGGAAGTTGTTTGATCAATTGCATGCTTCAGCTTTGTTTTCTCAAGGTTTGACATAAAGATATCTGCTAAAACAGGGCTAAGTGGACTGCCCATAGCTACACCATCTATTTGTCGGTAAAGAGTGTTGTCAAACTGGAATTGTACACCCATGGTACACATCAGCAGTAGGCGTTTGAATTCCGGCTCTGGTAGTGGGAGAAGATCAGACTGTTGACAAATTATCTCAATGGTTTCATTGATTGGGATCATTGTGAACAAGGAGGTTGCATCAAATGAAGCCATGAACTTATTTGAAACGTTCATGTGATTCACGCTTTCAGCAAAATGAAATGAGTCCTTTATGGTGTGCGCGGCCAGCCTTTGGCGAATGGGTTCCAACTTCTCCGCGAGCCAACGGGCAACCTTATGTTGGGGAGAGTTGATCATCGAAAGTATAGGTCTCAGAGGGACTTCTTTCTTGTGTGTCTTTGGAAGGCCATACATATATGGCAAGCGGGACCCTCGGGGTTTCAATTCATTGTACGTGTTGTTGTCAATCAATTTCTTCTTTAGA